GGACCTCCATACATTGCCCCAGCCACAGGCTCTGCGCCTGCAGCTCCCATTGGCTGTGATTGCCAGCCAGTGGGCTCTGTGGAGCTTTTACTTGGAGTGGGAATAGCATGCAGATCCCCCTGGCTGCTCCTGTGCCTAAGAACCAGAGGGGGAACATGCCAGCCATTTCCAATAGTCACACTCAGCCAGCCAGGGATCCTGCATTAGCCCCACTACACTGCCAACCATGCTCTTAATGGCCCAGTCAGCAGGGCTGACCAAAGCTTCCAGGATCCCTTTTCAACCAGGTATTCTGCTCAAAAAACAGGTGCATGTCAACTTTAAGTAAGATTCAGGAAGGACAAGGCTCACAATTCAGAGCAGGGTGGAGCTCTAGTTGTTTGGGTAATTTCTTGTTCCTGCGGCTAACTTACGTTGGGCCAGATGGCCAATCAAAGGCTCCACAAACTGATTCTCATGGATGGAGACTCACGAGGGGTGGGCTTTGTAAGTGTCAGGTAAACTGTTGCTATCCATCTGCAAGATGGAGGGTTGGAGCATGGCTGCTCCTATGAATCTTGCAGGCAGAGGTGAAAGTAAGTTGGTGCGCTTGATGCAGAGATCCAGCTAGAGCACTCAGCTGCAGTGGGAGGGGCAGGGAGCTCCCAGGGCTGCCCTTGCCCTGAGCCCCCCGCCCTTTCAGAAGGAGGGGCAATAGCTACACATACCAGGTCTGTTGCTTTTCCTGATTCCTCTGACTAGGGAAAGTGCAAAGGGAAAGTGCAAAGCCTGCTGCATTCCTCTTGCTCCCACCTGCAGAGGAGGAAGACAGCAAGCTCCACACTTTCCCCTTGCACCCTAGTCCCAGGAAGCAGGAAAAGCAACAGAGACCCGATATGTACAGCCGCAGCCTCTCCGCCCCCTGAAATGGCACTCCCCCACCCCGCAATCACCTCTACACACTCTCTGCCCTGAGCCCCTCCTAACTCCAACCTTGACTCCTGCACCCCTCACATCCCCAGCCCCCTGCCCTAAATTCTTCACCCTCTCATACACCCCCAATCCCTTGCCCTGAGCACCTCATACATCCCAACCTTGACTCCTGCAATCATCATGTCTCCAGCCCTGCCCTAACTCCTGCACCCACCCACCCCAAACCCCTGCCCTTAGCCCTCCACACTCCACCCCACACTGAAATTTCCTACAGGTACTATTGTATCACTTGCTCTCACACATATCCTAAGCCCCCCTTCATCTCCTGAGGGGGTGGGGGACTGGGTTGTGATAACACAGTACCTGTGAGAAACTTAAGTTATTTTCACCCCTGCTTGTGGGCCCAGGTTTGATGCCTCTGGGCCATGACAAATCTTCCTGTTCTTCCTATTACCCACCACTCTATGTAGATCCACAGGCCAGCAGAGAGGCCTCTGCCGGATTGGACAAAGTGCTACTCAGGCAGCCAAGAACCCCTACTGCAAAAGATGGAGTAGGTCTATGCACTGATCATGGGGTAATGACAATGTTACAAATGTGAAGGAGCAAATCATTAACAAAGGTTACTCAGCAGAGGGACCAGTAGCTGTCAAATAATAAAATACAGCCTCAGTCTATAATGACTGCTACTTTTACAATACATGAACTCTATACATTTTTTAAAAATCTCTGCAGAAATATGGATTTATCTGTGTTCCCAAGGACTCTATCTAGATAACATTACTATTATATATAATCCCCAAAGACCTTTAATTAAGTCCACAGCAAATCTACATTATATGTTCTCATCATATCTTTGTCTAATATAGCAATGCCAGTTTTATTAAACAGTGTGGATAAATCTTCCATCTGATTATGAACTTGATGTCAAGTGGACAACTACATCACATCACAATGGATAAGTTTTCTTAATAGCAGCTGTCTGTGCCCAGTTCCACAAATACAAAAGGTACTTTAATGTAGTACAGGCGACTCCCAACTTACGACCACCTACATTTACAACCTTTAATGCGAAAAATTTACATCCACAGCTCTCATTTTAGATGGCATACGTCGCAGACTCCACGCATCATCTCAAAACAGGAAACATACAAGGTCAGTCAGACTTGCCAGTCTGCAGCTGCTGCTTAAACTGCGTGCATCTCTGCCACATCGGTTTTCACTTTAGTTATTTTTGCACATTATGTGAACTATTTAGTTTAGATTTCCTCCATTTCCGTAGTCAATTTTCATATTCTTGGGGTATGAAATGGGTTTCCAGGAACGGAACCGCCACTTATAACATTGCACCTATGGGAAATAAGGGTTCGACTTACAATGGCTTGACTCCAGGAACCAATTAGGTCATAAGTGTGGGGGTCACCTGTATTCAACACTATAGAGATTTAAAAGATTGAAGATGAGACTATAGATTTTGTAGGGGCAACTTTAAGTGTGGTTCCAGCATATTTCTCCTGTTTTTATACTGATGTTTCATTCTAACAATACATGTTATATATGAAGCATTTTACTCAAAGTGCTTTCCACTGTTTTCCTTAAAAAGATAGTTTGGGAAACTGAGGCACATAACAGGATAAGTGACTTTCCCAAAGTCATACTAAAAACTCTTTTAAAGGGCAAAAAAAAGAATCCAAATCTCCCGACTCCCAGTTCTGTGATATTTTGACACCATCTAATCTACTCCGAAATCAAATTTCAGTGATTTTAAGGAAAAGAGACACTGGCTTACAAAGCCGAGACTGGCTGCAATATGTCCATTTTTTTAAAGAGAGAGTAAGAATGAAGCCATTTGCATACTATAAACAATAGTAACACCTATGTACTACTTCTGGGAACTGGAAAAAACATGAGAAGCAAAGGTAATCTTTCATGGAAATAAACTATTTGGCAAAAGAAGAGAAATTACCATGCATTTATAAATTCAACACTAAAATAAGATTACAACACTTAATCTTTGCAGCTCTATTCACTGTCATGTAATTAACAAGCCATCTCCTAAGATTTAAAAAATTTATTAAAGCTAATGTTAAAATATTATATAATACGTAGGCTAGGAAAAGTGTCAGTAGATCTGGTTACAGTGCTTGGATTATCCTCTAACAGTTTATTTTAAAAGTTAAAGATGCTTATAGTGCTATACAGAACTGACCCAAATTTAGGGGGAATAAATATAAAAATATAGTCTATATATATATATAT